TTGAACAGACACCCCAGATAACTCTTATAGGCTCTCAGGCTTGAGACGTGGGGAGCCCCAGAAGGGGAGGCTGAGGCCCAGAGCTCTGGGTCTTCCCGGGGGACCAGGCAGGTGCTCGACTATCTCCCCACGTCTCCAGCAGAGCCGGTGACTGCCGTCCTCTGGCGCTTCCTGTCTTTCAGAGCCGTGGGCAAGACCTGTCTTCTCATCAGCTACACCACCAACGCGTTCCCAGGAGAGTACATCCCCACCGTGTGAGTGCCTGGGGGGCAGGGCTGGAGGAGCAGAGGGACCATCACCAAGTCCACCCCCTGTCAGGTGCCTCCTGTGGCCAGACCCGGCTTGGACACTGGGAGGGGGTGGCAGGTGACCCAGTGATGCCTGGCAGAGCTGCCTGAGGACCCAGCAGGGGAAGCGCTGAAGCTCCCGGGTGGGGTGTTGGGGAAAGGGCGAAAGGGCTGGGGGCTGGCCTTCAGGCTGGGCCTCCAAGAAGAGGGAGTCGAGGAGGAGGCTGGCCTGGCCAAAAGCAGGGAGGGGATCCCCTGGGGGAGGGAAGGGCAGAGGAGGGGGCGATCCAGAGGGCCTGACACCAAGGAGGAGGTGAGATCTTGGGGTGCGGTGTAGGAGGCGGAACAGTGACCTTGGAGGCTCTGCCCTCTACTGCAGGAAGTGGAGGCAGCACTGTCATCTGATGCGGGGGCAGGGAGCGGGAAGGGTGGTGGGGAGGCACCAGCCCCTCCCTGGCCGCCCTCACCGCCTCCGTCACATCCGGGGCAACGTCCTGACTCCATAGCACGGCACCCAAGGCCTTTGGTCTTACCTCAACCTCCCTTTGGCTTCTTCACTTATCACTTCGCCACATGCTCTGCCTCCTTCTGGCCTCCAGTGTTGGCCGCATGTGCCCTGGGCATTTCTTTTTTTTTTGAGTTGGAGTCTTACTCTGTCACCAGACTGTCACCCAGCCTCGACCTGCTGGGCTCCGGCGATCCTTCTGCTTCAGACTTCCAAGTAGCTGGAAATACAGGCGCGCGCTACCACGCCCGGCTCATTTTTTATTTATTGTAGAGGTGAGGTCTCGCCAAGTTGCCCAGGCGGGTCTCGAACCCGCGGGCTCAGGCAATCCACTCACCTCAGACTCCCAAAGGTGCGGGATGACAGGCTGAGCCACCGAGCCTGGCTTCCCCTGGGCATTTCTATCCCAGGGACTTTGCGCAAGCTGTTCCCTTTCCCGGTAGTGCTTTTGCTTCTCACATCCACCTGTCTGAAAGCTTCAGGGCCAGCGCCAGTGCCCCCTTTCCTCCAGGAAGCCTTTCTGACTCAGCCTGAGGGGGTCTCCCACTCCCCTGGGTGCATTATCTGGTCTCTCCCATGGCCATGAGCCTGCAGAGGGCAGGGAGCCACATCCAGTTCTTGGGTCTCCCATTATCTTAGCATGGTGTTGTATACATGGTATAACATACACATGAATTTACACGCAATACATGTTTTGAGCTGACCTGAATTGAACGCATGAGAGACCCCAGGAGGATTGACCATAGCCACCAACTGTCAAGGCGGGCCCCGCCCCAGGCATCACACACATGTGATGTCATTGGATCCCCAAGGGAGATGGATGTTACTATACCCAGGACACCATGGAGAAGCCGAAGCTCATAGCAGCTGAGGGGCTCACTCCAAAGGGTCACCGAGGCCTGTCCGTGCACAGCCTTCCTGGGGCCCTCATTTCTTTCTTTCCTTTTTTTTTTTTTTTTT